AATGAGAAAGAATAAACACAAAATCTCTGGCAACTCAAAAAGCTAGAGTTGCCTTCTTTCTTCTAAATGACTGCACTAGGTCCCCAGCAAGGGTTCCTAATTAGGCTGAAATGGTTGAAATGATATAAATAGAATTCAGAAAATGGATAGAAACAAAGGTCACTGAGATTCAAGAGAACATCAAAACCCAATCTAAGGAAATTAATCATAATACAATGATATAGGGAAAAAGGAGCCATTATAAAAAAAAGAAGCAAGCTAATCTGAAGAGCTGAAAAACACTACAAGAATTAAATAATGCAATTGAAAGTATTAACAGCAGAATAGAACTAGCTGAGAAAATCTCAGAGCTTTAGGGCTGACCATCTGAAATAATTCAGTCAAACCAAAATAAAGGAAGAAAATGAAAAACAAACAAAGCCTCTCAAAAACATGGGATTATGTAAAGGGACCAAATCCACAACTCACTGGTATCCCTGAAAGAGACAGAGAGAAAGTAAGCAACTTGGAAAACATATTTCAGGATGTTGCCCATGAAAACTTCCCCAACTTTGCTAGAGAGGCCAACATTCAAATACAGGAAATGCAGAGCACCCCTGTGAGATATTACACAAGAAAAACATCCCCAAGACAAAATCATCAGATTCTCCAAGGTCAAAATGAAAGCAAGAATGTTAAGGGCAGCCAGAGAGAAGGGGAAGGTCACCTACAAGGTAAACCCCATCAGGCTAATAGTGGACATTCAGCAGAAACCCTATAAACCAGAAGAGACTGGAGTCTTATACTCAACATTCATAAAGAAAAAAATTCCAATGAAAAATTTTATATCCAAACTAAGCTTCATAAGTGAAGGAGAAATAAGTCCCTTTTTCAGAGAAGCAAGTGCTGAGAGAATTTAACACCAGACCTGCCTGACAAGAGGTCTTGAAAAGAGCACTAAATATGGAAAGACCATGACCAGCCAATCTGAAATGATACTTAAATATACAGAAGAGTGACATTATAAAGCAACAACACAACATGTTTATGTGATAACTGGCTATCAACACGAGGACAGGATCAAATCTGCACCTATCAAATCTAACTTTGAATATAAATGGGCTAAATGCCCCAATTTAAAGGCACAGAGTGGCCAGCTGGATAAAGAAACAAGACTTAATAGTATGCTGTCTTTAGGTGGCCTGTCTCACATATAGTGACATCCACTGGCTCAAAATAAAGGGATGGGGAAAAATCTACCAAAGACATAGAAAACAGAAAAAAAGCAAGAGTTACAATCCTGATTTCAGAAAGAAACAAACAAACCAACAAAGATAAAAAAAGAAAGAGGAGAGAGAGAAGGGCAGTATATAGCACAGGATTCAATTCAATTCAATAATTATCCTAAATATGCATCCATCCAACACAGGAGCATCCAAATTCATAAAGCAAGTTCTTAGAGACCTAGGTAGAGACTTAGATTCCCATGCAGTAATGGTCGGAGATTTCAACACCCCACTGACAGTATTAGACAAATCATTGAAGCAAAAAATTAACACAGATATTCGGGTCCTGAACTCCACACTTCACCAAATGAACCTGATAGACATCTACAAAATCCTCCACCCCTAAACAATAGAATATACATTCATCCCCACATACTCCAAAATGAACCATGCAATTGGACATATCTTTAGCAAATTAAAAAAAAAAATGGAAACCATACCAACCAGAATCTCAGACCACAGTACAATAAAAATAGAAATAAATACAAAGAAAATCACTCAAAATCATAAAACTACGTGGAAGTTAACCTACTTCTGAATTACTTACCTCTTCCTTACATCACATACAAAATTAACTCAAGATGGATTAAATACTTAAAAGTAAAACCCCAAACCATAAAAATCCTGGAAGATAAACATTCTGGACACAGAACTTGGCAAATATTTCATGACAAAAATGCCAAAAGCAATTGCAACAAAAACAAAAATTGACAAACAGGATATAATTAAAGTTAAGAACTTCTGCAGAGCAACAGAAACCCAACAGAGTAAACAGACAACCTACAGAATGGAAAAAAAAATATTTGCAAACTATGCATCTGACGAAGGTCTAATATCTCACACGTGTAAGGAATATAAACAATTTTATAAGCAAAAACTTGCACGCTAAAATGTGTGCAAGGGACATGAACAGAAAAAAAATGAGAAGGGCATTACTATTTTTTTTTTAAAGAAGACATATATGTGGCCAACAAGCATAGAAGAAAATGCTTAACATCACTAATCATTAGAGAAATGTAAATCAAAACCACAGGGAGACAGCATCTCACACCAGTCAGATGGCCTATTATTAAAGAGTTAAAACATAACAGATGCTGACAAGGTTGTGGAGAAAAGGGAAAGCTTATACAGTGCTGATGGGAAGACTGCAAATTAGCTGAGCCACTGTGGAAAGCAGTTTGGTGATTCCTCGAAGCGCTAAAAACAGAACTACCATTCAACCTAGCAATCCTATTGTTGGGTATATACCCAAATGAATGTAATTCATTCTATCATAAAGATGCATGCATGCAAATGTTCATCGCTGCACGATTCACAATAGCAAAGACATGAAATTAACCTAGATGCCTGTCAATGGTGGCCTGGATACAGAAAATGTGGTACATCTATACCATGGAACACTATGTAGCCATAAAAGGTAATGAGATCATGCCCTTTGCAGGGACATGGAGGGAGCTGGAGGCCATTATCCTAACACAGGAACAGAAAACCAAATACTGCATGTTCCCGCTTATAAGCGGGGATCAACCAGGAGAACCCATGGGTGCTAGGAGGGGGCCCACACACACTGGGGCCTGTGGGAGGTGGAGGGCAGGAGGGGGAAGAGCGTCAGAAAAAAATACCTCTTGAGTACTGTGCTTACTACCTGGGTGATGAAATTATCTGTACACTAAAGCCCTGTGACACGCAGGCGACCGATTAATATTTAACAAACCTGTACATCTACTCCCAAACCCGAAATAAAAGTTAAAAACACACAAAAAGCCAAAAAAAAAAAAAAAAACCCTAATGTTGTAAGTGATGAACAGAGTGGACCCAAACAGCTCTGCCCTGATAGAGCTTAGTTTCCAGTGAGGACAGCCAGAGGGGGAATATAATAAATAAAAATACATAGCGTATCTGTGCATACATAAACACATGCTATGTATGACATATACGCAGATAGTTGAATAGAAGCTAGACAGGGATGGGGAAGGCAGTGCAGTGGGTGTGTGTGAGCGAAGATTTTACTGACGCTGCTCAGGAAAGGCCTTGGTGAAAAGAGGAGGTGAGGGAGCAGTGCATGCCTCTGGGAAAAGAGAGTTAAAGGCAGAGGGAGGGGAGGGGCTGTCTGTCCTGTTAGAGGAGCAGCCAGGACTCCAGTGTGGCCGGAGTGGAAGGGGCCAGGGAGGCTGCGCCTCGCCTAAGGCCGGCATTACAGCAGGTGTGGCTGCAAAGATTTGATTCTGTCTCTGTAAACATTTTGCCTTTTCCTTTGAGGAGGGGAAGCCAGTGAATTTTTTTTTATAAAGAAAATTGATTCATTGTAAATGTACACATTTTGAGGTCTATGTGGTCATTAAAGACATTCATAAAATTTGTAAAGATCAAATCAGTGTAATTGAAATAGCCTTCACCTAAGATATTTGTGGTTTCTTCATGTTAGGAACATTTGTATTATTCTCTAGCTATTTTGAAATATGTAATAGATTATTGTAAACAGCAGTCACCCAAATGGTCTATCTAACGTGAGGTCTTATTTCTTCTATCAAACTGCATGTCGTGTCTACTCAGCAGCCTGGAGGTCATCATGTGGGAGAAGGGAGACGGGCTGAGCAGAGGGGTGATACGGTCAGATCACCTGTGACCACCCTGGCTGTCGCACCAAAGATGGGTTATGGGAGAGGAGGCAAGGATGGGCCCTTGGACACCAGTGAGCTGGTCAATGCTTTGATTGAGGTGGTTGTGTCTGGGACGGAGGTGGCGGCAGGACCCGTGGCGGAGGGCTGGATCCTGGCTATCCTTGGAAGGCACTGCCAACAGGATTTGCTGAAGGCTTGGATGTGCAGAGAGGAGAGAAATGTAAGATGAGCCTAGGTATTGGCTGGAGTCAGTCAAGGGAGTCGCCCTGTGCTGATGTAAAGAAGATTCTGGAATGAGCAGCAGGAGTGCAGTGTGATGTCATGTGTTCCACTGCCCTCTTGCTTTATGACGTCTCTGCCTTCTTCTCTCTGAAACCCTTAAGGACGGAGATTGTCTGTCTCATTTGTGTGGTCCTAGTGTCTTGAACAGTACCTAGCACGTAGTGGGGATTTGATCTGCGTTTGCTGACTGCATTTTAAATGGGCACAAATGCTCCCTGGAGGTTTGCTTCAGAGCAGCGTGTTACACCAGTTCCTGTTGCATTTAATTTAAGAAGAGAAAGAAGAGGCCAAGAAAAAGGAAGGAGCAGTGAACACTGTTCATCCGCATCCCTAGCTCACGTGGAGTTTTGTGGGCTGGGCAGGGGAATGGAGAATGATTTCCTCTTTCCCCCTTGGTCAGTATTGTAAATCAAAGCTGGGGGTAGTTATATACCTTATATCACCACTGATTTTAGACGAATGCTGCATGTTACAGAATCATCCCCGCGCCTGGCTGCACACCCCTCCATCTAGGCTCTGGGGCCCCCTTCCCTCCCGTCTCCGGCCTGGGGCAGGGGGAGGGTAAACTGGTCCCTGCCTCCCATCGCAATCTCCCTGGCGATCTGGGAAGAAGCCAAGGGCATTCAGCAAACGCAGTGTCAAGGGACAGCCTCCCGGACTCAGAGTCATCAGCCAGAGCAGTTTTTTCTTCCAATACGTGTGTCAGGGAGAATCTCCTGATTGAAGTGGCAGGATAACCAGAATGGGATGGGAGGGGGCCTGGGGGACCCGGAGGTCCCAGCCGGTCCAGGAGCACAGAAGCTGACATGACAGCGGGGAGGTGTCAACTTGCCTTAATCACGTCTTCATCAGACGATCTACACTCCACAGACTCCAGCAGCTCTGTCACTGTGCCGTCCTCTTCCACGGAGACCACCTTCACCGGGACGGCCACCGTCTTCCCCGTGAGGATGGCTGTGTTCAGGATCTCCGCCTCCTGGAAGACGAAACACACCCTTCCATCACATCCCGTCCTGAGACAGCCCAGCCCCGGGCATATGCTGCCCGCCTTCCCTCGGCCTCCCTGCAAACAGCATTGGCCTCTTCCGCAGGCTCACAAATTCTGGCGGGCGGCAGCAGCTGGGTGACCACGGCAGCCAAGGGGTAATATTCTGTCCTCACCCAGATTTCTGCAGGGAAACTATGGTGGGGAACGGGTAGAAGACATAGAAGTGGCAGAGAAAATTTATTTCTAGTATTGTGTTTGGCAAACACTTATGTGTGAGGCGCCCCTGTAAGTGCTTTACAAATAGCGGTTCATCAATCCTCATAGCATCCTGATAAGAAAAGCGTTCTTCTTCTTCCCATTTTACAGATGGCACAGAGAGGTTTGGTCACTTGCCCAGGGTCACACAGCTAGAAGTGAAGGAAGGCAGGATTTGAACCCAGGAAGTCCAGCTCCCAAGTCCATGCTTCAGCCAACTCAAATAGCTTGAAACATGGACACAATGACTGTAGCTTAAGCAGCCGATGGGTGGCCAGAGGGGCCTGATGTTGTGAAAGGAGCTTGGATGAGCAGCACCTCCAGTGTGTGGTACATGACAGAGACAGAGGCAGGGAGACAGCCCTCCCTCTCTGTGCGCTCTTGCTCTGGCTTTCTTTCACTCTGTTTCACTTTTCCAGGCTTATATTGGGTCCTGGCCTCTAGATGTGTCTGGAATGTTACTGTGGCTCCAGCGGGACTCCCACCCCCCCAGTTTTATGACCCACGATGCACAAGACACAGCCGCACTCACCCAAACACACGTGCTGCTGTAAACCCTTCGTTCAGAGAGCAGCTCAAGACGTGTGTCTTTAGGGATGTCCCCCGGCTTGCTGCAAGTATTAGCTTTCAGAATTAAGAAGGTCCTGAACCTTTCCCCTTGGTAGCACCTAACAGTGGCTATTTCACTTTTCCCTACAGTTATTTAATCCTCTTCCAGACTCTAAGCTCCATGGGGCTCTGCTTTCTGCTCACCAGCACCTAGCACAGAGCTTAGCTACACGAATAGTGTTCATATTTGTTGAGTGCATAAATAGGACTCAACAGGGAAAGGACTGGGATTCACAGCCTCATCTTCTTGCTCCCCCACCCCTCACACTCTGTGTGTGAATCCCTTTTTCTGCAGGCACATCTATGTCTCGGGAGTGTTTCCCAGACATCAAGCATCTCTAGATCTCACGATAACCTGCGTCTCTCTCTCCAATGCACCCATCCTCAGCCTCAGTTATTGTTCTAGAATTCCTGTGACTTTTGAATTGGTGCGGGCCTGAGAAATCATAGGAGCCCATTTTTCAGGTAGAGAAAACTGAGCCTTAAGACCCAGTAAGTGAATCTCATTCTTCTCTGCAGGTTGCATTTTGTATTACAAAAATGTAGAAGTCCGGGTATAACTCCACATCTCAGTATAATACAACTTCCAAAACCTAGCTCGCGACGTTCTTTGCTCGGTTTCAGCTCATCACATGCCACTGGTGTCTCTAAGGGGTGTTTTATCAACACGCCACATTGCATTTCCTCTGTTAACTCTGAACGTGTCTGTCTTTTCTTTGACAGAATAGCACCAAAAGGTCTGGGTGGGTGCTGGTTAAGGTGCATCTAACGCAATTGTCATTTTACTTTCACTCATAGTTATTCAATTGATTTATCTTCCTTCTGAGACTGTGAGCTCAGTGGGGCTGTATCTGTATCATTTTGAGAGATGGGCTTGCAAAGATTCTTGTTACTTTGATTTTCATGTGAAACGTAAAATGCCTGTTAGTAGTATGCAAGCAGAAGGAACAGAAGTTCATCTTAAGATTATATAACTATTTCCTTTATGTTAACTATTTCTTAGATAAAATCTTATCATTTCTTTATGGTATGAGATTTTTGTATAACCAGCTCATTGGGGTTAGGCTTTGGATGTAGAAATACATATATTGTTCATGACTTCAATTCTAAATGACAAGACTCCAATTTGGAATGCTCCTGAATTTGAGACCATGCTTTAAACAGTTGGAATAGGCACAGGCCTTCAAAGGTCCCATTATCCATACTCTTTGAGCTTTTTCTCCCCTATGGGTTCCTAGCCTGATTTTATTTTATTTCGAATAAAAACATAGCACAAAAATGAAGGGGCAAAATCAGCATACGATGCTATTTCCTGCTGCCTCTAGGCAGGAAAAATTAGTTTTAATGGCAAAAATCACAATTACTTTTGTACCAACCTAGTACTTTTTCTACTCTAAAGGGTGAGGATCAAAAGGAACAAGTGGTAACCTGGAAAAAAGTGGAACAATGCTGTGTAACTTGCTGCCTGAAACTGGCTCATCACAAAGCAGGGAGACAGACAGGGGAGCGGCGTGGCCACATCCGACATCAGTCTTGACAGCTCCCCACATTCGTGGTACATAGGGAAGGGCGTCTCTACTCCAATGATACAAATCAAAAGGCCTTTTATGTTTTTGCACATTCAGGTTAGTGAGGAATGAGAAATGATGCCGGGAATGACCGATGGGCGGCTGGAAGCCCGGACATCTGGGGTGTTGCCTGCTTCTCTAAATAGCCTACGTCTTTCTGCCCACCAAGATCTCAGTGGGGCTGAGTGACTGAGCCTTCATGCTTAGTATTTCCCTGCCTCCTTTGTGTATTTCAAGTTCTTTGACGTCAAGAGTTTCCTCTTTTGCACAGCTTTGCTTCTTTCCAGGAGCTGAATGGTACGTGGATGACTCACGAAAGTCTTTGGACCAGAGGAGGGTAAAGGAGACCCTTGTTCGGTGGCAGAAGTACCTGCAGAGCCTTGCTTTGCTTGAGACATGACCTATAACTGCTCTGCTTTTTGGACCCCAGAAACGCTTGAAAGCTCAGCCGCCTTCTTGCTGTGTGTTCACCTTAACACAGAGCCTCAGAGCCCAGGAAGTAAAGGCACAGACTCTCTTTAGAAAACGTATCTCCTTCCCATCAGCCAATCATATCCTAATGATCACTCCACACACCCATTCTGCCACTTGGGCATTGTGCGGGTGTGCCAGTAAGGCTCTCTGACGAAGCGTTACAGAACTGTAGGCTCCCAGAGTCTAGGAGAAGGCAGACTAGCAGAGAACAGTCTGGACGTGGTACTGAGAAAGGAATAACCACTAAAGTGAGGTTTCAGATATTTTTCCCGGGGTCGGACTCACTGTCATCATTATAGGGAAGCAGGAACTATCCCTGTTTTTGCTGGAGAAATGATGATCCATGTCTTAGTTTGAACTAACCTGGAAATAGATCCTGGGACAAAGATTCAAGGGCAATTTATCTGGGAAATTCAGGAAACTTCCAGAGGAGAGTGTGCAAGCGAGACAGAGAAAAGGAGGCCACTATCAAGTGGTGTAGATTAAAGCAGGTATCACAGTGGGCACCTGGAGCTGATCCACAGGGGCTGATGTGGATCGTGAAATACATTGTATATTTGGTGTGCGTCTTAGTTCATTTGTATTTCTATTGAGAGATACCAGGCTGGGTGCAGTGGCTCACACCTGCAATCCTAGCCCTTTGGGAGGCTAGGGCAGGTGGATCACTTGAACCCAGGAGTCTGAGACTAGCCTGGGCAATACGTGAGACCCTATCTCTATAAACAAAGAGAAAAAAAAATTAGCCAGGTGTGGTGGTACCTGCCTATAGTCCCAGCTACTTGAATGGCGCTGGAGGTGCGGTGGGGGAATTGCCTGAGTCCAACGAGGTAGAGGCTGCAGTGAGTCATGATTGTGCCACTGCGCTACAGCCTGGGCAACAGAGAGAGGCCTTTTCTCAAAATAACAATTAAAAAAAAAAACTAGAAAGGCTGGGTAATTTACAAGAAAAAGAGGTTTGTTTGGTTCATGATTCTGCTGGTTGGAAGACTTGGCATCTGGAGAAAGCCTTGTGGAGGAAGGTGAAGGAAACGGGCATGTGCAGAGATCACCTAACAGTAGAGGAAGAAGGGAAGAAGGGCAGGGAGGTGCCAGCCCCTAACGACACGGAGAACTCCACTGCCAGCCAGAGAGGGACTTTCCCTACTCATGAGGGATCCACTCCCATGACCCAAACACCTCCCATGGCCCCACCTCCAACACTGGGGATCACATTTCAGCATGAGGTTTGGGGGAACAAACATTCCAACCGTAGCAGTGTGTAAATGTGTGTGTATTTCAATAGACTGAAATATATTATGATGCATTTCCCTGAAGGGAAATTCTCTAGAATATGCACCTCAGAATAATTCCATGGAAGGCTGAGGGAGCTGGGGTATTTATACACCAAATCCTGAATGCTGCTCCTAAACAGACCACGGCTTAGCCCTTCCAGCCCACTGCACGTACAGGCAAACAGACTTCTACTGTTTCGAAGGAAGCTCCCGATGGAGGGTGGCATTTGGACCTGGTCTGGAGCTGCACTGCTGTGCCAGGGTTCAAGGGAAATGTGTAGGGCCCTGACCGGGTCTGCTACAACACTACTGTGAGGTAACCTGTCATGCGGTGCGGCTGACGGATTGGAACTAGAATTAGAGTGTTTCGTTGTTTTGATTTTTTTTTTTAAATTTCCTCATGTTTCTGGTATCCTGATTTTCTGCTTCAAGTATCAGCATAGGCATTTATTCATATTCACCTTTGAAAATTAATTTTAAAACAGAGACTAGGAAAGTAACAGATAGAGAAAAACATTGTACAGGGGAAGTTTTTAAACACCTGAAGAGACTGATCTCGGCTGGGCCCGGGGGCTCACACCTGTAATCCCGGCACTTTGGGAGGCCGAGGCGGGTGGATCACAAGGTCAGGAGTTAGAGACCAGCCTGGCCAACATGGCAAAACCTCATCTCTACTAAAAATACAAAAAAAGAATTAGCCAGGCATGGTGGCAGGCACTGTAATCCCAGCTACCTGGGAGGTTGAGGCAGGAGAATTACTTGAACCTGGGAAGCAGAAGTTGCAGTGAGTTGAGATCGCGCCACTGTACTC